GAAGAGAGTGGTGGTCATTTGGTGTGAAAAAGAGATTAACCTAGAAAAATTTAAAGAAGAAAACAGTACATAATAAAAATTAGTAAGGTACTAAAAACCTAATACAGTTTCATTCCATAAATTTCAAAATAATATAGACAGATGACAGCCCTTGAAACAATATATATAACTTTCTTATAAATAGAAGCAAAATACTAATTTACACAGAAGGCGGTGAATTTTGCAGCTTTGTACCCTCAAGAAGGAACACATTTATTCACTCAATAATATTTGCTGAGCACCTCTTTTCTTCCAGGTCCTGTTCTAGGCTCTGGTGTGCAGCAGCAGACAGTGACAACATCTCTGTTACCTTGTGGAACTTAGGTTCTAATGAGGAGACAGACAGTCAAAATAACTGGAACAAGGAGTGTTTACTAATCAGAAATGGTAAATTCATGATCTACATACCACCACCCATTTCTCATCCTAAGAGGGAACACGTCATTAGTCAAGCTTGACATTTTTTTTTCCTACTGACTCCAGTGTATCCTCACAACTTTCCTTAACATAGTTCTTTAGACACAGATATTGGAGGGTATGGAAGCCCCCCAAAAATCTGTAAAATCAGTATGTATATATACAGCATGTGGGGGAACATGTGTGTGTGTTATTTGGGGAAGAGAGAGTGTTCATAATTTTATCAAATTCTCAAAGAGATCCATGATCTCAAAAAGACTAATTATTACTAATTCAGATCTTTTCCTGGGTGATTTAGCAATGGAATTTCAGTCAGTTAGAAAACAACTACCATGATTTTCTAAAATATCTTCTAACATCACAGTCAGTGCAGGGGGCTACCTGAAATCACCATTTCTCGTGTTCGTCTGCTGCAGGTCATCATTCGTGTGTGTTTATTAGGTAGGAAAACTAAGAGGAAGAGACTTCTTTAAGGAATTAAAACGGCAGACACTCCGCTTCTAGCCTATGCTGACAAAGATGTGCTATGTACTGAGACTCCCCTCCCTGTAGCTCAGCTTCTGCAAATGTAGGAAAATGCTCGTCGTGTTCAGAAGAATGCTCTTACTCTAAGCGCGTTAGCATTGTCATGTTGAATAAAATCAACATAACTTGGAAACCCGCATAAGAATTTCCAGAAAAATGATCAAACTTTCAAGTATTCTCCAGCTTTTCCCTTCTGTTATAAGGATACAACCAAAAGGTAAATTCAGAGCAAATCTTCCATGGGCCGGTACCTTTGCTATGGAGCCCGAAAAAGTGACAAATGACTGCTGACTGTTGAGACTTCCCCTTTTTGCACAGACATATTTGTTGGAGGCTACACGTAGAGACTCTCAGAGAAGGCTTTCTGCCCTGAAAGCTGTCCGTTCCGAAGTGTGTTTAGGTAGCGGTCACAGAAGCAGGGATGGAGGGGAGAGGTGCGGTTCAGGCAGACATCCTGGCTCTGTTTCCTACTGTCAGTGTGTCTGTGGGCCAACGGTTTCGTTTCTCCAAGCCTCAGTTTTCTCATCTGTAAAAGAGGCATGATACTAGTCTTAAGTGTTGCTGCAAAGGTTGAAACGATGTGGGGTAAAGCATTAAGCAAAGTTCCTATCTCAAAATAATTGCTCAAGAAAGTAATTGCTCACACTAAGAAAATCATCACTCCCACATTAAATTTTGATCTTTAGCACTGTGTAGCAAATATTGGAATTACTGAAGAGAGTCATTTTCATCTAAGTGCTCATGATCAGCCCAATATCTCAAATATTAGCTTTTGCTCTCTTGGAACTTTCCACCACCGATCTGGGACAAATGTGTTAGTTTTTTTCTAAACTCCTAGAGTGTTCATGGTTTATTTATACAATACAATTTAGTATCACGGTAAACACTGATTTGTATTGTTAAGTGATTATTTTCTGAATTTTAGACTTACTTTTCCACTCAGATATAAAGTGCTTGAAGAATGAGTTGTTTGTTACATATCTTTTATTCTTTGGAGTGCCTAGCATCATACTTGACTGAATCGTGGAAGAATTTGAGTAAAATCCTTCACCAGAAATCTATGTGTCTAAATTAGGCAGTTATGCCTGCACTTTCTCCCCACCCCCATCTTCCTCCTCTGGTGGGAGTGGCCTGTCGCCTCAGGGTTGCCTTGGTGAGTGTGAGCACGGAGCGCTGAGACCAACTCTTCTCTTTCTTCTTTTCTCCATATAGATGACATACTGTGCTACATTATGCATATTTCCTAGCCTTGGCATAAAGGCTCATTTTTAAATTTAAGAAACACTTAATAATTCCCGGTTATATGCCAGGATGTGTGTAAAGGTACAGAGATAAACAGGACCTTAAGTAGCTAATGATGTAATAGGGGAAGACAGAAATTAAACAACTTTAAATATTTTTGAGAGCCTAGGAAAAGAAAATAAACATGGGGTATTTTGGGAGCACAAGTGAGATTATCAAGGAGGGCTTCTTGGAGGAAGTGACTGCAGTGCTCAGTCTCAGAGAACAGCAGGTGTTGGGTAGTTGCTGTGGGAAGGGTTGGGAGTGGAAGAGAAGGCGTTTGAGGTAGAGCAGAAGCATGAGCAACAGCATGGCATCCCTAAAATGGTGAGGTATGTGCAGGGAATTACAAGGAAGCAGCTCAAGGTTGCTGGAATGTAAAATGCAAGTTGCATAAGGATGAAAAATGTGCCTGGAGCGGGGCAGGCCCAGGGTCCAGATCACAATGGACCTCTTATGCCACGTTAATGAGGACCTTGGCCTTGAACCTGTCAATGATGAAGAGCTACTGAGAGTAAAGGAAGGATGTGCTCAGTTTTATATAGTTCACTCTGATAAACTGGTGCGGATGGAGCTGATGTGAACAAAACCCATTAGGA